TTTAGATGGCAGACCTCATTCAACTTTAGATCGCGTTTGCTTTTATTTTCAGCTGTATTATTTTTTAAAATACTCCTCATTGGCTAGCGAAAGATATAGCAAAAGTTGTAAACCCTAGTACTGTGAAACAACTCTTCACAAATTCAAAAATACGGTCACTATGTCGAAAGGCATAAGTATGACAAATATATTCATTAGTAGTTTAGACACCTCGCCAGTCTTTTGAACAGATGTTGAACTTGTTACCTGTTTAGGATTGGGTTTCCGATTCCTTCTAAAGTCTTTTTATTCTCTTTCATTCCCAGTAGCCCCTTGTATCTTAGTGACATTAATGCCTTCCTTAACGTGAATGAATTAAAAAACATATTTATTCTCTATACACTAACGTACCTAATAGATGCTTAAATCTGATAATAAGAAACATATTTAGTACAATAAATATCTGACACTATCGATAACTCCTGCTTCAACTTTTGAACTTTTGTTTTATTTAATGTATATTTATTCTAGAGTGAGTCTGTTTTTTGTCAGACGAAAATAAACTTAGTATATTTTTCATGTCACAAGGTTGACGTATCATTCATTCCCGTATTTAAGTTGCCCTTTTATCGACTAAATATGTAAAATGAAGACTATTTTTCCCTGACTCAGTTTTACTCAACTCCTTTTATTCAGAGAAATGGATTTTATGACAGCAGAGACGCGCCAAACAAGTCACGGGTTGAAATTGTCAGCTTTTTAATATTCAGAACGACAACGCATATTAATCATACATGCCTCAGTAATGCACACGTACAAAGACTCGTTGTTAATAGAATATAGTTTATTAAGCATTCTTTTTAATCATTAGCCCATTGCTTACAGTGGAGACGAGAGTAGATAGAAAACGTGTTGTTATCGTACAATCTACACAATCCCAGATTTGGATCGTTTCGAACGGGATATTGCTAGAATGATACTTTTTTAATCGAACTTTCGTTTCTTGGAGCGCGGAATTTGCTTCCGAAACACGAACAACTGGCCATTAATATACGATCGATTTTAATGATATTTGTTGAATGGCGACTATAGTTACATTGAAACAGAAAAGCGAAGCTCACTTTATGTTTGCAATGTTTGCATGTAATCAATAGACGTTTAACAAAAAATTGATGTATCTTAATATTTCGACATTTATTTACATCATCCTTAGAATATCATAAATGGATGATTTTCACTGGCAGGAAGTTTATATGGTCCTGAGTAAAAAAAAAATGTAACTGTCTTATTTCCTACATTATTTACATTATTCGGACTATTGTCCTCCACTTTGAGGCCATATTTATTACAACGTTTCGGCCGTTGTATGCTCCGGCTTTATTCAGATGGTTCGAATGTCGAACTGAATCCGTTATTTCGCTCACTGGGTTAAACTGTTCTAGTTCCACGTGCCATGATTAATGGATGTCAGTTATCAGTTATCTCCTGTTAATTTCCCTCAAAGTTCTCCATTGCCTTAACCGGGTATTGAACTCACACTCCTTGGGTCCTGACATTGGATTTAACTAACGCCTATATCAACTGTGCCATGTGTCCTTCAGTTAGACATCCCAACCACCTGAAGAAGGCCGGAGCGTACAACGGCCGAAATGTTGTAATAAATATGGCGACAAAGATGAGGACAATAGTCTGAATAATGTAAATAATGTACATAATACCTCATCTCAGAAATATTGACAGATACTTATTTCCTGTAGATCAATTAATGGTTATTTGCAGTCGATGTACCTGAAATCTGTAACATATTTTTATTATTGACGTGAACATTTGCAGAATCAAATATTAAATATCTGCAAATCTATTTATATACAAAAACATGTTGCCTTAATATCACAAGCATAGTCGAAAGCTTGGATTTCTTTTAAAATGTCAGCGTTTTTAAATTTTAAATTAATTTCATGGTTGTTTTAAAGGTTAGGTTTTAAAAAATAAATCGTGTTAACTTGAGCGCTTTATGAGAAGAAAGTTAATTCTAGATTTAGTCGCTGTGAATTTTCAAATGCATCCACATTCGCTACGTGTGGCTCAATTTGTTACTCTTGAAGTGAAATGCAAAGAAAATCTGACAGATAATAAAGAAGAGGTAATTTATTTCTTGCAGGCAAATCGATTTATTATCTGAAATGGCATATTTAAAACAATTATCCTCATCTCGGTTGTCTCGCGAAGTCACGGCCCCAATTTTGAAATCATGATATTCAGAATATCAACTCTGGAGAAAAGACAGAATATTTTCACAAAATCGAATATCAGAATTCCAAAGTTTGAAATTACTTGGCAGGACCTCGCATGTGAGAAACTTCCAACATGATTCGGATAAAGAATTATGTTTAAAATTAGATGAAGTTAGCCAAGCGATACAGGCTCTGGGATGGAGAAACTCTGTTGTGTCGTTAAGGAGTTAATGATCATAGCTCTCCACAGCTTCCTCCCTTTCTTTGCTCTCTCACCTATGACCCACTTTTTGCAGTACTAGGACCGAATCGGTACTAGAAGGTAGATATTTGTATTGTATTTTATAGTACAACTTAGATAATTGGATTGGGTAGGGATGTTGGAAAATTTGTGACCATCCAAAGGCTCTGAATGTTTTGAAGAGTTACCGATTCCATTCAGTGCCATGAAAGCCAAATTTTCCATTTCCTTAGTAGAACATCGTCTATTCTTCTACTGGAAAATAAATGAACGAACCAAAGAATGAGGATCCTTGTATACAAGAATCATGTTAATAATAATAATAATAATAATAATAATAATAAATATTAGTCTAAAAGATTCAACAATTAAAATACAGATTAGAATGGCTGAAACATTTTGACAAACATACGAAGACGACACTTGTGGGAAAGAGTACACAATGTATAACACGCGCGCACACACACACACACACACACACACACACACACACATATGTATATATATATATATATATATATATATATATATATATATATATGTGAAAATATATAGAAAATAGGAAGGAACTGGTTAGGAAAAATAATCCAAAGTCCCTTAGTATTTTAGTTATTATTTTTAAAAATAGTGCTCGATACAAACGTAGAGCATAAATATAATTATTTATTTAAAAATATGATTCCAAATCGCGACATAAGAAGTCCCATGTTTCAAAACAAGAGCCGAAAACTTCAATATAATTATTTAAATTAAATTGAGTTAAAATAAACTCTGTTCCATCTTCAAGCGAAATTTTTTTGGAATAACGTGTTTCTGAAATTTACGTGTTTTAATTTCAGAAACACGTTATTTTAACTCAATTTAATTTAAATAATTATATTGAAGTTTTCGGCTCTTGTTTTGAAACATGGGACTTCTTATGTCGCGATTTGGAATCATATTTTTAAATAAATAATTATACATATATATATATATATATATATATATTATGAAATGGACTAAGTCCGAAAATGATTTTAATATATTTTCTGCTTATACGTTATTTCTATAGATAGAAATACAGTAACTACTCTTTTCATAATAAACAGTATTAACTACATTTATCGGCCTGAATGTCCGAGAAATTTCATAGAAAATATGTGTCCTCTAACAGGAATCGAACCTATATTCTACAGTGAACTGTCATATAGCCTCACGTGCTATAACATAAGAAGGAAGCGTCTTGTTAGCAAGGTCGAATTACTGCTTTTAAACTACAAATTTCCCATGACTTCTCTCGAACGACCATAGTTATTTGTAACTATTGTGTATATTAATATATATTGTTTAGCACATTGAACGTAGACATTCTGATCTGAAGCAAAAGTCGAACACCGATCCGTAATTTTATATGGCTACGATGTTAACTGTATAATAAATCTGGTATGAAACCAGATGTCCAGGGAAGTGTTTTCACAGTTACAGAAATAGAAAATATAACAGTTAAAGAAATACAGACTTGACTAAAAATATTTTCATGCATCCTATTTCGCAATTTTCTTAAAGGGTCAGGTGAATTTTGAATCACGATTCGAAATCATGAAAGAATAAAGAATTCTCAATTAAATCTGAAATTATTGAAATTATTGAAAGCTGAGATAATTAAATTGTGCTGTTTTCGTGCATTTAAAAATATTCTCAAATAATCAGGAGTATTGTCACCATATTTATTATAACGTTTCGGCTGTTGTATGCTCCGGCCTTCTTCAGGTGGTTGGAATGTCGAACTGAATCCTTTGTTTCGCTCACTGGGGTAGACTAAACCACCTGAAGAATGCCGGAGCATACAACGGGCGAAATGTTGTAATAAATATGGCGACAATGATGAGGACAATAGTCCGAATAATGTAAATAGTGTACATAATACCTCATCTCAGAAATATAGATAGATAATATCAAATAATATATAAAAATTACTGCTATTTGTAAATTTTCCTAAATCCTAAATTTGTTTATAATCGTTTTTCTCGTATTTTTGATCATCTGTAATATTGTAAAGGGATAAGTCAAATATGAACGCCCATTTGCACAGACAAGGGTTACTCGCTCGTTTTCCCGCTGAAAGTCTCAGCTGAACGAAATATAAATTATTAAATACACTATGGAATATAATATGCAATCCAGTTGATTATGGTGTTGGTGACTCTGATGTGAGACTGTCGTAAAGCAATTCGTATAATAAATGTCCTTATTTTTTTATTGGTTGGAGCCTATCGCCAATTCCGGTTCTCCAAATAAATGATGTGATGCTTAATAAGCGACCAGTAAAGCCATCGACTAACGTTATTGTGATTTATAGTCACTCATATGCGATGCATCATTAAAAGCTTAATGTACTTGAGATCCCATCGGCGTACCACACATGTACATTAACACTGGATACAGCATAGCACGTAATTGCGATACACACACACACACACACACACACTATCTCTCTCTCTCTCTTTCTCTCTCTCTCTCTCTCTCTAACACACATACACTTATCCATTTAACGATGCACCCACTATATGAAACTTCCCCGTCTATTTTTCTTAAGAACCTTTTCTCCTTTACTCGCCATTTTCCAACCACTGTCTCTTTCTATCTATATTTCTCTCCCAAAGGTTTTATTCAATTATTTCTCTTTATAAGTACGTCCACTTATAGCTGAATTCCTATACATATTTAAGTTTTATTTTATCCTTTCTTCCCTCAATATCTTCATCCCGTCATTCCTTCAATACCTACCTACTACCTTCCTTCATTCCTTTCTTCAATACCTACCTACCTACCTTAGTTCCTTCTATCATCCCTTCCGTCAATACCTACCTATCTACCTACATACCTTCCTTCCTAACTTACTTCAATACCAACCTATCTTCCTTCCTTCAATACCTACCTACCTATTTGCCTACCTACCTACCTACTTACCTACCTTCATTCTTTCCTTCAATACCTACCTACCTTCCTTCCTTCCTTCCTTCCTTCATTCCGTCCTTCAATACCTACCTACCTACCTACCTACCTTCATTACGTCCTTCAATACCTACCTATTACTGCAAATTATTTCTTCTTCATTCCGTCCTTCAATACCTACCTACCTACCTACCTATCTACCTTCCTTCCTTCCTTCCTTTCTTCTTTCCTTCAATACCTACCTGCCTTCTTTCCTTCAATACCAACATACATTTCTACATTCAATACTGACCTACGTACCTACCTACCTAACTACCTACCTTCAATACCTACCTACTGATCTTCCTTCCTTCCATCCTTCCTTCTTCAATACCTACCTACCTTCCTTCATTCAATACCAACCTTCCTTCCATCTTTCAATACCTACCTAACTACCAAAACGACCTTCATTCCTTCCTTCCATCCTTCATTCCGTCCTTCAATTCCTACCTACCTACGTACCTTCCTTCCTTCCATCAATACCTACCTACGTACATCTCTTTCTTCCTTCCTTCAATACCTACCGACCTACAACCTACCTACCTTCCTTCCTTCAATAACTACTTCTTTCTTTCTTTCTTTACTTCCTTCCTTCTTTCCTTCCTTCCTTCCTTCCTTCATTCTTTCAATACCTACCTACGTACATCTCTTTCTTCCTTCCTTCCTTCCTTCAATACGTACCGATCTACCAACCTACCTTACTTCCTTCCTTCCATACCTTCCTACCTTCCTTCAATACCTACCCACCTACCCTCAATACCTATCTATCTTCCTTCCATACGTCCATCCTTTAATACCCACCTACCTACCTAACTTCCTTCCTTCAATACCAACCTGCCTTCCTTCCTTCAATACCTACCTACCTACTTACCTACCTACCTTCCGTCCTTCAATACCTACTTCTTTCCTTCCTTCAATACCTACCTACCTTACTTCCTTTCTTCAATACCAACCTACCTTCCTTCAATACCTACCTACCAATCTACATACCTACCTTCTTTCCTTCAAGATCTACCTACCTTCCTGCCTTCGTTCAATACCTATCTATCTATCTACCTACCTTCAATACCGATCTTCCTTCCTTCTTCAATACCAACTTATCTTCCTTCCGTCCATCCCTCCTCCCTTCAATACCTACCTACCTATCTACCTATTTTCCTTCCTTCATTCCGCCCTTCAAAACCTACCTTCTTTCTTTCCTTCCTTCAATACCTACCTACCTTCCTTCCTTTCTTCAATACCAACCTACCTTCCTTTCTTCAATACCTACATACCATCCTTCCTCATTTCGTCCTTCAATACCTATCTATCTACCTACCTACATTTTTCCTTCAAGACCTACCTACCTTCCTTCGTTCAATATCTATCTACCTATATATCTTCAATACCGACCTACTGATCTTCTTTCCTTCTTCAATACCAACATCTTCCTTCCATCTACCCTTACTTTCCTTTCTTCAATACCCACCTACCTTCTTTCCTTCAATACGTACATACGTACGTACCTATCTATCTAGCTACCTTCCTTCCTTCTTTCCTTCCTCATTCCGTCCTTCAATACCTATCTTTTTTCCTTCAAGACCTACCTACCTACCTAAATACCTAACTACGTACCTACCTTCCTTCCTTCGTTCAATACCTATCTACATACCTACCTACTTTCCTTCCTCATTCCGTCCTTCAATACCTATCCATCTACCTACCTACCTTCTTTCCTACAAGACCTACCTTCCTTCCTACCTACCTACCTACCTACCTACCTTCCTTCCTTCCTTCCTTCCTTCGTTCAATACCTATCTCTCTACCTACCTATCTACAATACCTTCCTAACGATCTTCCTTCCTTCTTCAGTACCTACTTATCTTCCTTCCGTCCATCCTTCCTTCCTTCAATACCTACCTACCTTTCTTCCTTCCTTCAATACCAATCTACATTCCTTCCTTCCATACCTACCTACCTACATACCTACCTCCTACACACCTTCCTTCCATCCTTCATTCCGTCCTTCAATACCTACCTACCTACCTTCATTCCTTCCTTCATTCCGTCATTAAATGCCTACCTACCTACCTACCTTCAATGCTTACCTACCTATCTACCTGCCTTCCTTCCTTCAATACCTTTTTACCTACCAACCTACCTTTCTTCCTTCCATACTTCCTTCCTTCATTACCAACCTACCTACCTTCTTCCTTCTTTCAATGCCTACCTACCTGCCTTCCATACGTCCTTCCTTTAATACCCACCTACCTACTTACCTTTCTTCCTTCCCTCCTTCCTTCCTTCAATACCTACTTACCTTCCTTCCTTCAATACCTACCTACCTAACTTCCGTTAATACCTACCTACCTACCTACCTACCTACCTACCTACCTTCGGTACCTACCTACTTACTTACGTTCTTTTGTTCCTTCAATACCTACCTACCTTCCTCCCTTCTTTCATTTATTCCTTTCTTCCTTCCTTCAATACCTAACTCTCTTCAATATCTTCAATACTTTCCTTCCTATCTACTTTCCTTCCATACATTCCTTCGCTCCCCCTTCAATACTTACCTGCCTTTCAATACCTTCCTTCCTTCAATAGGTAACTCTTTTTTATATCTTCAATACCTACCTTATTTCCTTCAATAATTTAAATACCTACCTACTTTCCTTTCTTCCTGCAATACTTCAGTACCTTCCTTCCTTCCTGTTTTACGCACTTTCCTCTTCTTTTCTCTTTCTCATTATCATTCGGACCCACAGAATTATTCCTATGCATGTTTTTCTATAATTTTTCTCTCTCTCTCTCCCTCTCTCTTTCGTAAAAAGTACTCGCTTAATAACACTTTCTCTCTCTTCCCTCTCTTTCTTATACCCACCAATTTCCACGCACATTTTTCTTTCTCTTCCCTACAAGATCACCTTCGACATCATGTATTTCTCACTCTCTCATACGAAATTCTCTCTTGCGACGTTCCTTTTAACGCCCTCCTAATGACACTCCCATAACTAGCAACGTCTTTTCCGTCTCTTCCTCTCCATCGCAAAGCAAATAATCTCTACCAAACCTCTACCCAGAAGAGAAAGAATTATGCACATCATTTACAATCAGGAGGGGTAACCGCCATCTCGGAATGAACAACCGACACTGTGCTTTTCCAATTATATCAACCACAAGAATATATCACGTGGTTCCATTCTCAAATGAAATCAATGCAGGTCGCTGAAAAAAATATTCTTTTCTTCATTCGACGACCCATGAATGTGTCTTTGTTGCATACTTGACCTAATCACCAATATACCCGCATGAAAAGAAAAAAGAAGAAAATATACACTAGACAACAATGGAGACACAAATACATTCACAAAGGAGGTACAATAAAATCCCGCCAAACAGACGTTAATGTAATCAACATTTAGTTAAAAAGAATTAGAAGTAAAATGCATAAAGATATTTTATCATCGCAATAAGAATGGCAAAGAAATGAGGAAATAGAAAAAGAAAAAAATATTTCGAGTTTTGAATCAAGAAAGAAGGAAAGTAAAAATAAGAAAGTGATAGAAAGAAAGAAAGAAAGAAAGACAAAGTGAAAGAATGAAAAGAGAAATAAAAGACAGAAAGAATGAAAACGTTCATGTGAAAAATTTGAAAAAAAAAACAAAAGGAAAAGGAGAAACAGGAAAGAAAGAAACATTAACAAAGTGAATGTAAACGGAAAAGAAAATGAGAGAATGTAAGAGAATAAAAGAATGAAAAAAGAATGAAAAAATGAAAAGGGATTGAAAGAATTAAAAGAGAAAGAAAGAATGAAAAGGGAATGAAAGAAGGAAAAGCGAATGAAGGAATGAAAAGAAAATGAAAAAATGAAAAGAGAATGAAAGAAGAAAAATAGAAAGAAAGGATGAAAAGGGAATGAAAGAATCAAAGGAGAATGAAACAATGAAAAGGGAAAGAATGAATGAAAAGGAAATGGCAGAAAATCCGAAAAATGAAATAAAAAAGAAGAAAGAAATGTGTTATAAAGAATGAGAAATAACATTGAAAGAAAGAAAGTCAAAGAGTTTAGAAGAAAGAAAAGCAGAACAGAAGGAAGGGAAAAAGGAGAAAGAGAATGAGAAAGAAATTATGAAAGAATGAATGAAAGAGAAAAAGAGGGAGACAATACGTAAAAAGAGAAGGAAAGAAAGAAAGACTGAGAAACGAAAACGAAGAAGGATGGAATGAAAGAAAAAATGAAAGAAAAAGAAAGATCAATGGATTTATGAGATGAAGAATAAAAATATTGGAAAGAATAAACTCGAATGATTTTTATGAAAGGAGAAGGAAAATAAGACACATATTGAGACAAAAAAACAGGAAATGAAGAAATGGAAGAGAAAGGCAAGAATGAAAAAGTACGATGATTAGCTGAGAGAAAGAAGTCATTGATGGAAAAATAAAGAATAAAAAAATGAAAGACAAAGAAAAGATAAGGAAGTAAAAAGAAAACGAAAAGAAATAAAGACATTACAAATTTTGCGATCAGACAGAACAGGAAGTAACGACTTGAGGGAACGTGGAAGAATCTAGTTTTCTTTTCGCGCCATCTGAACCGAACAAAATTGAATTGATATAATAATCCACGTTAAAAGATCTGGATAGAAGAATGTCCAAGAAGCACTTCCGATATTTCCTTACTGATCAGCTTAATCTTATTTAATTCATCTTCATGCAGCTACACTTTCCGGTTTCTTATCTGTCGTCTCTTATAGACTTCGTGTCTTGAGGCCAGACCATACTAAAGCCCAATTCGTTGTCTTCGCGTGATACTTCTACAGAAGAACGGCATTTCAAATGGCTGCCGTCTCAGGCATCAACGATGACTTATTTGCCTAACGCCAGACAAATGTTCTATAAAATTGAAACTTTATTCTTTATTATATTGTAATTTCATAAATGAAGCGAAATTTTTACCCGTAAACAATCAGGTTTCAATCGGTGCACCATGATGAAAAATCCAAGCCTAAAAATAGACATTCAAAACCATGGTCTTATTTTAGGCAAAACAATGGCCCCCTACAAGCAGTGGTTAATATGTTTTTATAGGTAGGCTGATACCGAACATCTTGAGCGGGTGGTTAAAATGTAATTCATCTTGGCACGGGTGATGTGGCTCTTATAAAATACCTTCCAATTACATTTTAAAGGGAAATATAACAACATACTCTGCCAGATTTAGAACTCGTAGTGGTGAGGAATTGAAGAATCGGAGAGCCGAGTTCGAATTCCAGTCAAATCCATTACATTCAGTTACGTGCTAATACCCTTGGAAACGTTATGGATCTTCTCATTCCCCCCCAGCTATGGATAAATAGTAGAACAGACCGAGTTTTATAGCCTTGGATGGCAACTGGTCTACCGCAGAAAGAAATGGCAACCTGCTGCGGGAAAAATCTGCCTTGTCAGTCATTTATCTAAAGATGCATGATCGCCTAAGCGTGTATCCCGCATGGCACATAACTGACTAACTAGCGGTGCCATATGTAGGCTTTGTGGTGTTGCCATAATTAGAACGACTAAAAATGCTAAATTCTATTGTGGCGATTAACTATCAGCCGTGATTCTAAGGGAGAAATTTTACCAACTGTTAACAAAGCAATACGAGACCAAGAATTTGTTGTGCGACAGATGAGGAGAGTTTGTCGTCAATAGTGCATCAGTGACACTCGTTGCCAAATCCTTTAATCGAGGGAAAGGGTGAATGTAAGCCAACAAATGCAACATCAACTTCTTGTTGCACATGATGTTGCACCTCTACAGATCATTACGTAAGCTAAACATTGTCGATGATGTGTCTTCAATGGATGCCGAAACAGAAATTGTATCGGAAGGAATTAGCTTTGTTTGGTGTATTTTTATTCTGAATAACGTGCTCAGCAGGCTCCGTACGCGTCTCCATCCCACGTGGTATGGAAATGACATGCCTTTTTGATGACAGTAAGGTGAACCAGAAAACATTTCGTCATTTAAGATGAAGATACCTTGTTGGCGTCCTAGGTATGATGATAAACTACATCCGCATCATCGGTTAGACGATAAACTACATCTGACAGCAAAGCCTCTGATCAGGAGGTTTTGAGGAGCGTGGAATCACCTCTTAATTGCTGCTGTTCTCAGTTAGGGTCCCAACTATGAGCAAATAGTTAACCCCAAAATGGGCACAAAACACTATGAAAGTATAAAAATAGCTTTTAATACCAGCAATACATTTTTGAAAACATTATTAGCAGCAACGATTTTTTGAAGAAAAATTTTTTACCAGCAATACATTTTTACCAGAAATACATTTTTACCAGAAATACATTTTTGAAAAAAAAGAAAATATTATCAGCAATAGATTTTTGAAAAAAAATATATTAACAGAAATCCATTTTGGGGAAATATATTACCAGCAATAAAAATCTTGTCGGCATTAAATGACCCATTTAGGTGTTGATATGCCGTAAAACAAAACAAGCAAACGAAAAGGTACACAACTTGACATTAAAATTTACCTTCTATAACAATATCATCTTTCATCCGAACAATGTGAACTTCCACAATACCTATAGTAATATATAGGAATGAATTACCGTGACTTCTGTTTTACCCAGCGTTCACCCATGTAAGTATTGATCACGCTCAACTTCGCTGGTCGTGTTTCACCGTGATATAAAGCAGAGGTTATTTATATTATTTACAATCAGACTATTGTTCTAATCTTCCTTACACCGATTCAGCCGTTGAAATTTCAGGAATTTTTCAGGTATCTGTAATATCGAAGTAAATCCTTTAAAATACAGGAGTCTGGTCCAGCCGGCCCAAGGATCAGATTCAGAATTACTGTCACCAAATTCATCAACCAACATAAATAATGATAACTCGTAGAGATTTTGTAGTAACTATAATTGATCAGGTTAGACCTTTTGTGAGGATGCACGGATGACCAACACCTTATTAGTTAGGTGATAGTAGTTTGTGGCATTTCGGTGTATGGCACGAATATTTTACCAACATCAATAGCCAAAGTTTAAAAATCTATAGACGGCATGAGAGAACTATTTCTTCTTTTTTCAAAGCACAATATTAAATCAAATCGAACGATTATCAGGAAATAAGTTGCGCTGTGAAATGAAAAATTTGCGAGAATCACTGAAACATTTGAAGTGTTCGAATTCGGCAAATTAAAGCTTTCAAATTGAATAACATTTCTGTTTGTTCTCATATTTATTCTTGTCTCTGTTTTTTATTTCTTTCTTTAAAGGAATGCATTCGTGGAATATTATCATCAACTTGAAATGATGCAAATTTCTTACATATTATTTTTTCGGATTAATATTTTCGTTTTTATTTGTATAGCAATCTCATTTTCAGCCATATTTTATTTTTACAGTCCTTAAAGTAACTTAATTATTAATTATTATTACATTTTTCTTTAAATGATTATCTTCAGCTTTGTTGATATTGGCATAAAGTTTCGGTGGATATATTCTTCCGCTTTCATTTAGCGACTATCGAAGAGTCAAACCAAGGTGTGCTGTGATAGTGTAATTTTTATCGCTACTGAAAGGGGAATCAGCAAATGTTGTTCAAATTGTGACCGAGTCTGTGGTATTCTCTTTCATACTAACGACCTTGGAGAAAGTAAGAATCAACTTCTACTTCTAGGTTTTTTTTCGATACAACCGAGAGGGGGCCATGTAGTTTGGGCAGCACACAGCCTTCTTATATCATGCGTGCATCCGAGGGTAATGACTCCAGTTTTGCCACTAAAGGATTGAATTTTGACAAAACAGGATGCTACTTTATCTTGTGAGATAAACGGATGCCTACTGTAAAGGATAAGGGTAGAGCCAGTAATCACTCTATATCTTATATAAGGAAAATGGCATTAACAAAGCCATTAAAAAATCCAAATATTGGGTAACATCAACATAAATTTATAGTTCTTTCCTATACGGTGGAGTCATGGATAGCAGCCCGGATTGAGAAATCGGAGAGCCGAGTTCAAATTCTAGTCAAATCCATTAAATTCACTTACGTGCTAATACCCTTGAGAAAAGTATAAATCCTCTTCTCCCCCACCTAAGCTATGGGTAAATAGCAGGACAGACCGGGTTCTATAGCCTTGGATGGAAACTGGTCCCGTCAGTCATGTATCGAAAGATACACGATCGTCGAAGCATAACTGTGTAATTGCAAATTATTTTTTTTCAGAAAATGCTATGGAGTTTTCCCTCGTTTTCCAATTAGTAGTTCTAATGTTTGGTCATTCCAAATTCTGATGTTGTTTGATGTGATAATCCATGTCTTAAATATTGTCTACATCTACTTACCGCTTTACTGAATTCTTGACCATTTCTCTGGGACTTGAGAATGATTATTAATTTGTTAACAATCTTTTAATCACGCTATTTCAGATTCTCATAATGTAAGTGTGTATTAATCTACATTTCGCAATATCGTTTTGCTCAGCCATCTTACAAATATTTAGTGTCTATCCCATGAAATCTGTGGCCAGAAATATTGCTGATTTATCTCTCATTGACGACGAAAAGATCAGACCTAAGGAGCCTGGAAGTCATATGAGATCAGTGATAGCCAAGTGTCTACAGCGTTTGACCCTTGCTCTTCTGGAATATAGTTGGAAGCATAGAAAAATAAGACATGTCATTAAAAATCCATTAACATGCCATATCGTTAGGATGTGAATAATAAAAAAGCCAACGACATTAAATTGTAAGCTGATCTAAGCGGGGAAATTTCCAACCGTTTAGGACATCAAACGCAGGTCACTGATGAACAATGGAATAAGTAAAGGAAAATGAATCGGAAAATGACCGCAGAATAAAACGGGAGAAAACAATTATTGATTATAGAATTATGAATCAAGTTTGGAGGGATAAAAGAATTCATCCTAGAAGTGTGTGAGGCTACGTGAAAACCGAAGTGCTTTGAATCTTTGAAAAAGCCTCAGAAAACGATGAAACAAAGGGAGATTTTCAAATCAATAAGAAATAC